TTAGAGTCGTCGACAATAACATATAATTCATCCGGGGATCCAGTCAAAACCTTTACTAAGAAAAGAGTTGTAGGTTTGCATGATGAAGCAACTACTATCGTTTTGACTAAACTTATACGACTCACTCACCGGTGGCAACGGGAACTTCAACGATAAGGTAAATGTGTTTTTGGAGGGTGTTAGACGATAGAAGCAGGAAAGAAAAAAAAGCACAAGTTAGTCAACATCACAAACAGTATACCAAAATACAACGACAGTGAGGGAATTTAATGTGTGGCGTGAACAGTAAGCAAAAAAAGCTAGGATAATTAATTACCAGTAGGGACCTCAACGATTATATGGACGTGCTTTCTCAACGGTCTATCAGTCCAGTGTTCATCGATATAGTCTGTTGCCCTCAACTGGTCGTTGTCTTGTAAAGGTTGTCCCTGACTTAGTTCATTGCGATCGACTGGGATTTCCACCTTCCATAACTTGAGCTTGTCGGCGTCAACCCTAGCGAAATCATTCTGCTTTTCCGCCTTGATAACTTTCTTGAGATCACCAACTGTCTCTTCCCTACTGATATTAACTGGAAAGGCGTGCTGGACGGCAGGAGTCTTTCCTTTTTCAAGGCAGAAGAGCTTTATCGACATGGTTATATTTAGTTTTTTATACAACTGTAGTATGGACGTTTTTCGTCGGTAATATGTGAGAGATTCGTTGCACAAATTTGATTAGTCCCTGATTGATGACGCAATGATCACATGATTGATCACGATAAATTACTCATCTGGATAATAAATGTCGCGGCTGATGCTGAAACCCACGTGATGTTTTATTATCACGTAATGGTTATCAGTATGCACCCCCAAAAATGGTATCATGTAACCATTGTGTTACCAACGCAAGACATTTCTTCATTAGTTAAAATGCTTTTATTTCTTTTATTTACAGTATTGTACATTATTTACATTATTATAATCGGGTCAAATCAAAACGGAGATTATAGTTGTATTTGCAACGATAGTTATATTTGGGGGATTGAAGAAAAATGATCAAAAGAAAGTTGATAAGGAGAAGTCAGTACATGAGCATATGTTTAACAATTTGCAGATGTAGGCTATACTTACGTACGGGATTAAGTCACAAGGTAAAAAATCAGAACTGGGATTGTTCAAATCGCTGATGTTTACGTTCTATCAGAGGCGTAATCTATAGAATATAAGTTGCATGTTAAAAATAGCACGTACATACAATATATTAATGGACAAGCGCTGTAGCAAATTTATAGCTTTTTTTCTCCTAATCCCATAAATTGTTCCGAATACTTACATCCATCAAACGAACGTTCATTATTGCACAATTTGTTGGACGAATATGTAGAAAAATCAGTACTGGAACATAAACAAGTTGGCGTTAAGGATGAAGTCACGATGTTTGTACCGTATTGCAATTTATCTGAGTTATACAATATGAGAGTGTATAGAAAAATTGCAAATTGCCAAATGCTTGAGCTATCAGATGAGTCCATCAAATACATACGATCGCAGTAACAGCGCATCAGTTAGTTTATAACTGAATAACAGAGAAATCGCTCATAATCACGACTGATAACATCAAAGGAACGGAATATAGCAACCCATAGGGGTATGATTTTAAATACTTTTATTTGTTTACAAAGCGCGACTGAGAAAGGCTTTTCCATCGAAAATGGAGATTTCAGTACGTGTCGCGGATGTACACCGTAAACAAATCATATGGTGCGGTTAGTAAAAATATAAGCAATATCGCATTTTATATGGGACTGCATACAGAAGTTCCTTTTTATACCTCGTTATGTACTCATTTGTACATTAGTAATGCGTTGTTATACATAATGTACAGTCGAGAGCAGATGAATTTACCGTTATAATTTGTCAGTGTCTTTGAGAGAATATGCGAAATTTTCACATGCCTATGAACTTGATCATCTTCAAACTTACTATTTTTGTTGTTAATCAGCCTACTTTCTAAAAAGAATTTAGTTCACATTTGAAATGAACAAGATCAGATGGATGGCAATATGTATGATCTGTATACACTAATCGGGAAGGCAATATTTTGCAGTTGGCTTGTAATAGCTATTTGCTGAGATATATCAATCTTTTGCTTTACTCTTTCCCCATAATAATAAGTCATAGATAGCAATTTATTCTTGATCCTAATCTACATAACATATCAAACAATCCAACAGATTATTCAATGTTCTAAATTTCATAAGGAAAATTTGCTTGACAATTGCTGAAGGTCGAGTAGTATAATTCAACTACCATAATAATATTATCAGCGATTACAGATACTTAGATTTACCGAATTATTTAAATGTGTCAAATTAATCTTTGTT